TTATTAAACAAAGAAGCAAAAACTATCATTGGATATCAGATGCCCACATGAATTCAAAAGTAGTGCTATGTCCTTTCCTCCTACCTTTTCTTGCCACCACTGACATTGGAAAAAAATAAATAATGCAACTGACATAAGCTATTTTCCATATTTTATGAGTAAGGTGAGACACTACTAATAACAAAGTAAATATGAAGCAAAAGGTTTCATATTCAATATCAAATTCTGGAGATACAACCTTGTTTCCTATTGCTTTCTCTAGTTCTCACTTCAGTAATTGATTGTACCAATAAATACCATACCCTGCATTGACAATATATACCAGGAATCTTGCAAGTTTACTGTATGAAAGATATGCCTTGATGTCTTATAAATTCCCAGGAGCCTTCTTAATGGTGGAGGTGCAGTAAAATGATCACATATCTCACAGATCCAATTTCTCTTTTTCAGGGTCTATTTTACGACAGAAGAGGTACATGGGTCCTAAAAGGCATTCAAATTAAAACTGATACAGAAATAAATCAATATGTTGAGTATGTTCATTCTGCCAAAGTTGCCATGTTCATTCAGTCCCTGTCTAAGAGGTGTAAACTACAAAAACAAGGTTTATCATATAAGATAACATCAAAAATTAACTTTTCTTTTATCTTTAAAAGCCATATCATTTCGACAGCTCTGCTCTGTATCAGAAATTGAATCTGATAAACAACTTGCAAAATGAAAATAAAATTTTAAAAGCTCAAACAGAAAACAAAAGGAGTTTCTTTTGGAGATTTTTGGGTGTGTGTTTATTTTATTTTGCTTCTGTTGACAGGTATTCAGTTTCAGAGAGAGTATTAATGATAAGTTTTGATTTTCACTTTAATTTCAGTCCAATATTATTTTTTAAATACAGCTTCGTATTTAATATGTTTTAAATACACATTTTTTAAGTGGTGTATGAGATGTAGATTGAATTGCGAAGCCCCTGAAAAGATGACAGGAAAAAGTAGGAGGTCAGAGTTTTAAATTGTGATAATCATACTAAAACTTAGTCACTGCAAAGCCTTTTAATGGAAGGAACTAGGCTAAATAAATCTAACTTGGCCTTTGGTGATTTTTTATTTGAAGAATAAAACAACAGCAGTGAGTGGCTGCTGCAAAAAGATTGCTCTGTGCTCTTCAACAAAAATTGATTGCATTTTTCATACAACTAGAACTTTTTCTTCCTACAAATTCTATTTTTTAGAAATAGTAATAGTATTCTCAGTACTAATATTAGAAATCAAATGGAAAAAAAACCCATACCCCCAAGATCAGCAAAAACATAGCAAAAGTATGTAAGTCTGGTCATAAGTTCAATATGATATTTTTAGCATTCATGCACTAAAAACAGAGCAAAAGGGATTCTCAAATAAATTACTGCATCAGTAACCATCTGACTGGTGTTGTATGCATTGAAATACAGCACATAAAGTGTAAATAAAAAAGAGTTGGTGAGCTGGTGAGTTCAGTAAAGGTTTTTTCCTCCCTATTATCACAAAAGTACATTTAATGACTATGTTACATTAATGTAATATATATCATCTATTTCAGCTGAGCCCTTAATGTCATAATTTAGACCTTCCTAAGACCGTACAGTATTTGGGCACATGATTTATTTTGGCAATTCTACTGTAAGCTAATGGAAATCAGGAATTAAACATTACAAAAATGTATTACACTTTTCGGATCAATTTAATTTCCCCTTCAAACAGATGAACTGTTAATACCTTACTGAGAGATTTGTTTAGGATTATTGGTCAGGAGTTTGAGCTGTAACTCCTTTCTAAAAGGAAAAGCCACTATCCCCACTATCATTATTTTATCCTACAAAGCAAACTGAACCTGTAGATTTAATAAAACCCTAGTATTCCATGTAGAATTTTGCTACAGTATGTTTCAACATAAATATCTCACATAAAATGCTAAAAGATGTTATAGTATATAATGATATACTGTATACAGTAGCATATAACAAAATATGTTTGAACTAAATGTCATAGAAATCAACTCAGTTTGTAAATACAATCATCGTACTCCACCTTTACTTTTCATATTTTAATAGCTGTTTAGTTTATGAGGTATGAAAAGGCATGTATACAGCATCTTTGCAAATGAATAAATTATAATTAATTAAAAATACAAAAGACTGAAAATATTATTTTGACTTTATGCAATTACACCTTTTGTAACTGGTCATTGAATAGTATAATTTTATTTATGAGTGTTTTTCAAGAAACCCAAATTGCTACACAACAGCACACGTGAAATACACAATAGAACCAAAAAGTGGGAAAAATATTAGGAAGAAAGAAAGAAAATGGACAGCTGTATGTTGACTTACAAAAAGACCATATAATCTTTCTACACTCAAATTAATGGAATGAGTATGTCTTATTAAAGTAACTTTGCCTGGAGCTAGAAATGCACAGTCATATCGGAGTGAGACACATGTATCAAAGCTAATTTGATCACACCTCTTAAACCTAGACAAGAATATATTCCAGCAGTTTTTTTAAACCACAGACCCCCTGTAACAGATGACTATTTTTAAAACGCGTCAGTCCGCAGAAAGCAAAGGCAGACTTCCCCTCATCACAGGAAGGCTACATTCCTAGAGAAATTCCGTTAACATCACTTTTGTTCACTATATTTATCAATGAATATTTGAAATATCTGTTATTCCTCTCTTCATGCCTCTTTTTCTGAAGAAATAATTTTATTTCCTACTGGCGTCCTACTCCACCCTTAGACTTTGGTGTCAAAAATGCTGTACAGTATTTAGTTGCACCACTGCTTTGAGCATATGAAGACAAACACCTTTCAGAGAACTCCAGTACATAATACTTTAGTAAAAACTTCAAATTTTTAGAAACCATAACTTCCAAAGAAATGGCAGCATACCCACAACGTTATACTCTTGATTTATAAGCCTGTAGAAAACTTAAACTAACTTTGGCCAACATGAAGGAATTCCAACACACAAATTTATACACAAAAATGCACATACTGTATATATACACAGTACACATACACATAATTTACATCACAGCCACCTTTTTCATTTGCAAGTCATCATCCTAATTCAGTGAAGTGCACAAGGGGACAGCAGCTGAACTGATTTTAAATATTGTTTCCTGCCTGCAAATGATTAGACTTTGATTCAAAAATTGTTACTAGAAGACGTAGAGCTCTAGAATGGCCTTTTCAGATCGTTGCACATGCAATGATCGAGAAGACAGCCTAATGAATTGTCAAATTAATACATTTGAAATTGAATTCTGATCCACACTTTCAAGATCACAGAGAATCTGGATATATTAACCAAGGAGTCATCGTATGGACCTCTGACACACCAGACATACCGTTAATGTAGTAGGAACTAAAAAAAAACCTAATCTATTTTAGATACATGTATGAGCAAAAATGTCAGTACGTAATATCTACAAAAGCATTTTCAATGTGCAATGAAAAATAACTGATGAAATATGATAACTGTGATACCCATGATCTAGCTTTTAAATACACCAACTATTAAAAAAAATATATACAATCAAGCTTTTTTCATAATCAAAAACCAATAAACCACTCCATAGATTGAACTTCCAGTGGTTTGTCTACCCATCTAAATGCTGAGTAAATTTCTTACTGCTCCACTCAGAATAAAGCTAGGTCTCCTAGTGAGCGAAGACAGAGAATGTGTGATGGTATCATCTTTAGAGGTCTTGTTAATAGTCAAAACAGACTGGAAACAGACACGCTCAGGTTACGAGTATGTGCTTTTATCACTCACAATGTCAAAACAGCTCTTTTATAGATTCTACATTAGCATGCAAGTCCATCGAATGATAATCGACTAGAATCTGTTCTTGTCCAGGAGGGGTATTTGAAGGACTCATTGGCGCCATTCAATAAAGCAGCATTGCATGGCCTGCATAGCTGCTGGGCATGATCTACTATCCTGATATCTGAAAAACAACACCCTATACATCTGCAGTGTTCCTCACTCATGACAACTCATTGCAAATCAACATTTCTACCATCATTAAGTCTCTAGGCTTAATTTCAGGCAGACATGTAAGGTAAATGAATACTGCTTCACTACTCTCAAACACATTACATTGATACAGAAGGTCAGAATATTTTTGAGTGTACAGTATATACAACATCAATCCATTTTAAGTACTGCTGAATACATTTGTAATTATGAAATGGCTTATTAAAAAAACTGTGCTGTAAGTGAGTTGAAAGCTGATACATTGTAAGTTTTCTGTATAACACTTATTTTGCAATACACTAAACTGTAAATCCAACATTTCCCTGGTCTTTAACAGCAAATGATCCTTCTGTTTTAGGTTCAGAGAAGAAGAAACGTTTCTCTCTGTAATTTGCAGTATGCCTTGAAAAGGGGAGGCACAATGGTGCAGTCGTTAGCACTGCTGCCTTGAAGCGCTTGAGGTCCTGGCCTCAATTCCAGACCTGGGGTGTTATCTGTGTGAAATTTGTATGTTCTCCCTGTGTTCACATAGGTTTCCTCTGGGGTATTCAGTTTCTTCCCACAGTCCAAAAACATACTGGTAGGTTAACTGGCTTCTGGAAAAGTTGATCCTAAGAGTTAGTTGTGCGTGTGTCTGTGCATCTGCCCTGGAATGGATTCAGGGTCTTCCCTGCCTTGTACCTGTTGCTTGCTGGGATAGGCTCTGGCCCACCTGTGACCCTGAATTGGAAGTAGCGGTTAAGATATGGATGGATGGATGGATAGATATCCTGAAAAGCCCCAGGAAAGGATCTAGCATTAAAATATTTTCATTTTCCAAAGCTGGTTAGTAAAACAAATGTCAGGCTCTTTGATATTTACTAATGTGTTTATAGAGTTTGTGCCTATACTGAATTCAGATCACCATCGTAGGCGAAATTCTTCTTCCTCGGGTGCGGAGCCTGTTTAGAGTGAGAGGAATGAGATGTGACCTTGACCTTACCCGCAGGAAGGAAGGAAATCCTTGTCCATAGTATCCAACAGCAAAGTAATCAGGCTTGGGTCTGATAACTTTCACAATGCTCTCATAGAACTGTGCCTGTTTTCTCTGTGGATGCAACAGAACATTTTACAATTTAGTGAAGGTTCAATACATGATCCAGTTATGACAATTGACATTTTATCTGTTACTGCTATTTTTACTACATCCAAACCTCTTCTGGACAGATACATACCTTTCTGCACAGTACATGTAACTGCTTAACATCCTACTCAAAAATGGTGTTAAATGCAAAGTAAATAATATCTATGTCTTTTAAAACTATAACTATTTATATATATATGAATATATGATATATATGAAGAAGCCACAAATGGATAATGATCATAAATGTCTTTAAAGCCTTCAGGTTATATCTGTGAGCCTACTCTTAAGGATAGACAAAAAACATCACTGTATTAAATCAGATTCTCATAAGCACAAATGGCCTATGAAGCCATTCAAAAATGTTTTTCAGAACCACTCTTTGTCTTTAAAAGAGATGCTGATTTTGTTGAGCTTTATGTGCAATGAATTGTCAATATATCATGTATTTTGTCTGTTACTGGATTTTGTATTAATACATATTTATAAACAGTATGTAATATTATATACATATACAAAAGTAATTCAAACCATGTTTTATAAGCTATCCAGTAGTCTTCTGTCCACAAATCCACAAATATCATATTCCACTCTAACATATGAATCCATCTCACATTTTATTACCGTATCTGCTTAAGTTCCAAATGCTTATGTTTTCCTTGTGTGTGAATACTGAAGTCTTAAATCACTCTTAATTAAAATAGATGTTTTAACTAAAAATACTATGAATAATACTATGAAGACTGACTATTACTTACCAATAATGCACTTAGCTGCTCGTAGTCAAACATTTCATTTTCATATTGCTCTGCAAGTTCTTTCCCCAAAATTATGGCCTCTTCCCACATCTAATTAACACACAAAAAGGAGACAACAGTTATATATAACATATGCCAGCTACTAGTAACTAACTGAACAAGACTGACTGAATGGACTCCTCTCATTTAAATGATTACTTAGGACGTTTTTTTTTACATCTTCAATAATTGTAAATACATTTTATTAATACTGTTGGCAATATCATTTTTACCATTGCTACTCTATCCAGAAGACATTGAAATTTTACTGAATGTAACATACACACAGAATCAAGCTTCTGTTCCAAACACTTCAACTTTACTGAATATTGACTTCCAGTGAAGTGATTTATTCCTCCTATTTTTGGTAACAGATTAATTCCTTGCATTGCACTTTTACAGACATTTAGATGCCATTTAGAAATGGCAATTTTGGCACTGAAGCAAATAATTATTCCAGCAAAGCATTTTAGCTGTAAGCATCCTCTCCTCTCCGTGTCAGACCTCTTAAAATATCATTGCCATCATTAGTTTTCATCATGAGAAATTAAAAAAGTGATCTGCACAGTCTGTCTTGTGCACAGTGTGCCGGGCATAGATCCGTTCCATGTAAAATACACATTTTAAGCTTTCATATCTGTGCATATTACACAGTTAAGCATTTAAACACTTCTATTAATAGACAGTGAACAAGGGTACGGAATCGACAAAGTTTTCCTTTTAAAGATGTGGTCATAACAGATTTATTAGTTTTGTCAAGAGACTGCAAAAATAAGAATGTTGGAAGAACAGCAGCGAGATCATTGATTTCTGGATCAATGCTGTAGAGATTGTGCACCCTTTCCCTTGGGTCTTGGACAGGCTCAATGAATCATGCTGAGGACACATTCGCTTGAAAAATTCTGCAAATTGTAAAATGTTTAATTTATTTTTATTTATGTGCGATAGAGTTCAGTGGCATTATTTACTTAGGTATTTGTGCATAACAAGCCGAGACTGGTCTATTTAAAGAAGGTTATTTCAGGACAAAATATCAACTACAAGACAAAAATGTTTCCAAGTCCTTGTGACAATGTTTACTGTAAAAAAGTTTAATATTGGAACCTAGGATGGGAAATTACCTAGAACATAAAGTGCTCTGGTAGAATAAAATACGCACCTGTGTCATTTACAAGACAGGAGTTCTATTGGTACAGCTTGTGTGACTGTAATACAGCTTGTTCATTAAATATTTCACATTATTCCAAAGAAGAAGCAAATGTATGTCAGAATTCACCCTTGTTTTCAGTAGGCTTGTTGTGATAGGGGGTGAACTGGGCAATAAACACATGGATTATATAAATTGTGAATATTAACTAATGCACATAGGCTGCAGTAAGGAACCTATTAATCCCTTTGGAAAGGCTTGCTCACAAAATATCTGAGTATATTCTGAAACAATTTATCTTTCAGACCAACTTAAAATAGACTCTTCAAGAAATCTCATGGAGTTAATGACACCACATCAGAGCCTGAGGTTCTGTAAAAATCGCTGGACTTGGTTGGGATCACTTTCAAGTTACCGCTTTTGTGTTGTTTTTCTAGCTTATGTCCATCAGACAGCACAGCAGAGAGAATTTTACTTATCCCCTTACACACTTCACAAAGTGATTATCACAGCTACCTACAAGCACACACCCAGGATATCAATTCATGCTGCAATACGTCTGCAGGTTAAATTAGCACAGGGGAAACCTCTACACAACCAGGCAATAGATGGGCTGACTCAATGTCAAGGAATGGCACTGAGAAGACAAATACATGCCTCTGCCCCCCACCAGCATGATCAGTAGAACTCCTTTGCAACTCCCGGCACCACTTCAAAGATAAAGCCACCAGAACATTATTCTGTGCTTACCAGCTCCTCAACAGTTCTCTTATTAAAAAACAAACAAACAAGTGACATACGTATGTAAACTTAAGTGGGGTTATGTGCTTTTTTTCTTTATGGAAATAAAACTTTTGTAAGGTTAAAAAACACTGCAATTGGACACATGATTTTAACAAGTCTGGCGCTCTAAGACTGTTCTTCCTAGGAACTTGCCTACTTGTTAATTAACACTACTAGAGCAATACCTATCTTCCACATAGACAAGAATTTCAGACGACTTCAGAAATTCGAGTAAGCTAATATCTGGAATGTAGGGAGATTTGCATTCTCTGCCTTGTGCAAGATGAAAACATGGTCCTCGGGAGGCACTGAAGGCTACAGAGACACAATGCCATGTGCAAGTAAAAAGTAGCACTTCCCAATGTGTTATCTACACTCATCAGGCTCACTGGGCCCCGTCACATTAGGAATGAATTTCACTGAAAAGCATGGAGGTATTTTAATGCAAAGAAGCCTGGGAAGTGTCTGTTTTTTAAAACATGCCCCTCCCCTACTCTGCCCACCTCACCTTGCCCTTGTCAAAGTAATTGATAATTTCTTGGTAGAGTTGATCCTTCAGTTGTCCTTGAGTTGCTGCCTGGTAGCCATCCCGCTGAGTAAGATGAGCGGCACAAGCTTCCTCAGACCACTGCAAAGACACAATAAATAACACATCAGCGTGCACTATACTGCACCGCACGCCATCTGCCTGCAAACAGCACCCTGCAAAGCAGAGTCATGCTACACACTCAGACAACCCACTTTCACACAACCATACATGACTTCACAGCCGGTGCAAATAAAGACAGATATGGTGCAAAAGAAATAAAGCAGTCAGGCAGTGGCTGGAAATTCATAATTCGTTTTCAGACTAATAATCTTCCGGAAAGCAATGATTTCATTCTTTGGAGCAAGCCAAATCTGATTTATTGTCTCATGGATATATTAGTTTCAGACCCTTTAGGGAAATGACCATAACTTAAAGGAGGAGAAACAATGCTGTGCTGGAGCAAAAGTTAATGCTTGACGTATAGTACTGTACTATACATGCTGGGTAATAAGACATCAGATTAGTGGTAGAAACCCCCCTTAAAACAAGCAAGCCAATTTTTAGTGGTTCCTGAACCAGATAATATGAACACGCCAGCAGTCTTTTTCACTTAAAAACCACACTTCTGTGTTTCCACGCTACATGATAGGTTGCTATAAAAGCACACAGGGATATTAAGCAGCAGCTTCCATCTTTCTAGCACAGCAAATTGCCTCTACCATCTACAGAGAGACCCTGACAGGGATGAAACATTCGATTCAAATTATCAGCTTTTACAGAGGTACACACAAAGAGCAGCACTATCACAATTACCATCAAATTTATTAACTGCTGCAAGAAACTCTTTAAAAGGCCTGTCAGTCTAGCTTCATTTTCACAGCAAGATAATTGACAAATCATGTTGTTCCAAAATACCAAGGCAGTAAAGTACTACTGGAAATTACAGTATGCAAAGCAAGATCAGACAGCCTGCAGCTTTACTGTTTACTAAAACTGAAATATGGTAAAAAAAAACCTCATATACACATCCCCAACAATGAAAATCTGGAAAGCTTCTAACACATTTCCAAGGCAAAATGAGAATTTCTAAAAAAGATGTTTTAGAAGCATTCATTGTGTGAATCAAGAATCATCATTGTCGATACAAAAGGTTTCTGTTGCTAGTAAAAGACTTTTACCAGTAGAGTCATAAATCTCAAGGCCACTTTCAGAAGATGCTTCATTGACCAAAAAGCTTTCGCCAGCTAGATGGCCAGTGGTATACTCACTGTCTATGTGAAACTATCACTACATTAGTCTAAGCCAATTAGCAGCTGTGAACCCAGTTTAGCTTGTGAGATAATAGGCAAATGAAAATAAACACCTAGGACACTATAGTTTTGGACTAGGAAGGAACTCCAATGTTGAAGTTTTAACAAAAGTCGACTTACAATACAATAAGCATTGTCTTAATTCAGAGAAAGCTAGGGACCAAGACTGCTGGAACTAACAGGAAATCATTTACTCAACATGTTAGCTGCTTCCTGCAGGTCTTAATACCATCTCTGCTTCACAAAGACACTTTATTATGGGTTCTGGAACACTTATCAACCAATCAGTATGCAGTGTGCTGACAGTCTGTGTTCTAATTCAATTTTTCATGTCACTTGGCTCACAGAACTCACACCACCCTTTGACTGTTTCAGAGGAGGCAGAAAGGGAGGTGAGATTGACCAACACTATATCATGAGTTTTGAAAAAAAAAATACAGTTTAAGAATGAGAATAGACTACTGCAGTTCCAACCTCAACCAAAAGGACATGTATTTAATATTTGCAATTGTATTAAATGATAGTAGCAACAAATTTTTTTAGTGGTACCAAGACAGGATTTATACTCTTTGTTACCAATGCTTAAAGCTTTCAAATACACACATTTTATTAAAATGTAAAACATTTCCTTGACAAATTAGTAACCTATATGGCACACACACAAACATACATACAGTACACATAACCACAGTGGCTTTTTAAAATGAAAAAAATAATCTTATCCTTCCCACACAGACTCCCTTTTATAATTCAGATGTAGCCTCCATGTCTATATTTGCGTTTAATAAGATTCTATCATTTCTAATACCTTCAGAAGCTTGGCATGAAGTAGCAATGTGTAGGCTGCTTCTGTGTAGTTATCACACTCTTTGTGAAGGTCGCAGAGCTTGTAAAGATACCTGAATGCAATAAAGAAAAGTTAATTTATAAATGTCAGGAGCTGAAAAAGGAATATAACACTTGAGTACTGCAGATGAGAAATCCAAAAAGCAAACAAAATGCTGCCTTGCTAGTTTTCTTTTTTTCTTGTCAGAGAACACCTTTCAATTTTGAGCAAAGCTTTTAAGCACATGCTTGTATGAAATAAAAGAAAATTAAGAGTAATGCAAATGAGAACAGGACATTTTTCAGCCTGTATTAAGGGTGATTCAGAGCTCCAGGTATTTAATTAAAATCAAATCCAATCTTTATCAGAGATATAAAGCAAATCCAGAGACAAGATTGCCTTCACTAAAGGCTGTGGTTCTGATGGTGAATAACTCTTAACACCATAGTTGAATTTCAAAATAATACTATACAATCCCCTGAACTATAGGTATTATGTGACACACTTCTACATTTTGTCCTCAAAACCACTGATTATTATGCAGGCAGAACTATTTTAAGTACAGTTACACTACAATACAATGTACACTTCTATATAATTAGATTTAATCTTATTATTAAAATATTTGTATATGAGTATTTATACAAACTGAGGTAAGAATTAAATTGTTCTCAATGAAGTTCATAGGACTATAATTTGCAACCCATAAATCATTCATTTTAAAAGGTGTATATAAAGCAGGTTAGATATTTTTTACAACCTGGAGGACAAGTTTGCATTTTGTTGCTTTGCAGTTTATTTTCAGTCAACTTTGTATTACCAGTTGTGGACAAAAAACACAGTATTCAGGGTTGGTTAAGGCTTGCTGTGACTACAAGACTGTGTAGACAAAGGAGAATTGAGGGCCAAAAGAGGTTGGTTTGAAAATTTTCAAATGTGGTTTAGCCTTTATAATGTAATAATAACTATAGGAAATTAGGATAAGCAGATCATAAAAGCTAAGCCGAATGTTTCCAGAGTACCCATGGAAACTCACAGAAGAGAAGGGATATAACCATTTAACAAGATTTTAACTTTGACAAAACTCATTTCCAAGCACGAAAGGATGGCACCAGGGTTTAAAGAACCAGCAGTCTCTCTGCTGCTTTGTTCAAATGTCTTATAAAGCAGCAAGGTCAGGCCTGTACTGATTTAACAAGCCTTTAACTCCTGTGCCTTGAAAGGTAAAAATAAGAATCGCTGCGTGCGTACTCGAAAGCTAATAAAAGGGTGACTGCATTAGTATTCATTGACTGTATTAACAACTGTTTTGTGCATGAAGATGTATGCTATTTTAGCTTCAGGAATTTGATCTGCTAATCCTAGACACTCCTCCATTTAATGTTATGTTTAATGCAATGAATTTTCCGGATTTTACATACTGTACTGTCTTTTTTAATACTAACACTTTTATTTGAAAAAACACATTAAAAATGATAAGATCATAATAATATATTTATGAGATTACTTCTTTTATTACATCAACAATGTGTAACAGAAGAAAGTAAAAAAAACTCATAAACTGTATTTTGCCTAAACGGGGAAATTGAAACCTCCTTTCCTATATTTTTTTTATTTGCGTCTCATAAGAACAAAATATATGAATAGCAAGGTCCTACTGTAGTCAATGACAATCAAAACCAAATGACAACCCAGTTTTTAAAAACATTTTAATCATTTTTTTTTCTTTTTCGGCCTGTAATAGATCTTTATCACCACATCATTCAGTCCCTTTCAAATGTTAATGTATGTAAACTATGCAGATTTTCTTTGGAAAGCAGGGATCCATTTGTCTCCTTGTGAAGAATCAAAGCTTTAGCAAACACTCCAGTAACATACGAAGAATCTTTCATCAAACCTTTTATAAAAGAAAAACACAGCAACCATTTCCTGCGGCCTAAAGCAGAGGTTCTCAAAGTGTGAGGAGTACAGATGGACTTGCGGGGAGGGGTGCACCTTTGTGAATTTTTTAGTAAAATCCACATACACTAACAGGATTTTGACAATAATAACACTTCAGTAGAGATTCAAAATGTGAGGATGGGGTGAATTCAATAAACAGCACTTATTGAATATTTTGTCGTGTAAACTATATTAGCTGAGAGCACTTCAGAATGCTAGCTAACAGTCTGGCCACCTGCCACTCCACAGTGAGGATGATATTAAGAATAAAAGTATAATTACACAAAGCAAAAAAATCAGACATTATGAAAAACACTTAATTACTTACCTTATATACATTTCCTCCCTCTCTATTTCCTTGTAGAAGTTCTGAAACAATTAAAATGTTTTAGAAACAAATAATTTTATCACTAAAAAAGCTTAGTCATTAACTGGTTGATACAACTATCGGATAAATAACATTTTAATAATGCCTTACAGTTGGTGAACTGAACTGTAGTTAGGCTCTTTGAAGTACCCCTTCTATGAGTGTATATAAATGTAGAAGAATAAACCATCTTTTCATTGAAACATTAACTGTTAGTCCTTCCATAAACAGGAGTAGAGCCCTTGTAAGTTGCTTTTTTCCCCCAAATATAATAAGATGCTATTAATAAGCAGGAACTAATTTAAGTAAGTTTACAACAAACAAATGTAGATAAACATTACACTTGAAGATTAATGAAATAAAACATCATGAATTGTATTTATGTGGCATGGTACTGCAGCAGACTACTTTATAACCCACAAACAGCTTAACTGGTTCCAGAGTGTTAGTTCTAGAATCATGGAGTGACAGTTTCATTAGTTACGCAAAGCTAGCTCTAGAACGGTGATGTGACAACTTGATTAGTCACACAAAGATAGCTCTGGATTGCTGCTCTGACAAGCATTCTGGTTACAATTTACAAATCTTCAAAAATCTATATATCTGTGGCAGGTTAAAAACAGATTTTTTATGTATTTTTCTGTTGGAACAGAATAGTACCCAACACTGAAAATAGCTTTTGAGGGCTATATTCCAATTGCGTAGATGAAGGCATTTAAGGCATTTTCCATTCCTGGGTTTACTGATGCCACTGACTATGTACTTTCATGGAACTTCTTCATAGTGCTACAGACCTGAGGTTTTATACAGTAAGACTCGTTGAGGCAGCTTGAGCTTCAGAAATGAAACCAGTCCTCTTCCCTTTACTTACCCAACCCAAAAGGATTTCTGTACAATGATACACAGGTATTAAGATACCCTCATCAAGGGCCCGCAAAGCACAGTGACATCCCAATGGGAAGAATTACTTTAAACATGCATTATTATAACTGCTATTATTACTAGTAATTAAACATACTGTAGCAGGACATTTGCACGGTTATTGGGACACAGCCCATGGGCTCCTGAACTCACCAGCACATTGACAGTGCAACTCATACGGTTCTCTTTGTTCTCATCATGCATAATAGTTCTGTAGTCCAGCAGCCTTTCCAGGAGCCTGACGACCAGCGTGACGAAATTTTCTCCGCTCTTGGCGAGATACTTGTGTTTCCGGCAGTGCTCCAGGAGGCTGGGCAAAAGTGGTAAATATCATTGTTATTTCAATATAGATTATCAAAAAGAGCAAAACAAAACCCAGAGAAAAGGCTAAGACAAAACATACTGTTTTGTAAAAAACCCTTTGGAGTCATTAACATGTTTCAATTCTTTTTTAAGAGCACGTTTCAATTCTTTTTTTAAATTAAGAGCACAGAAAATACTGTATTGCAATAATTATTATCTTACGTTTCTGGATTCTGGCATAATCCCAGCAATTAATCACCACTTACATTTTCTGGAAAAGAACTTTGTATTGTTCGTCCCCTCTGCCTCCTTCCACTTCGTGATCCAGCTTGGTGATGATCTCGTTTTCAAACTATAATTAGACAGAGCAAGCGTAAATAATCAGTGTGGCTAATTTTTCATTTCATTAGTATGACTTTAGTGGTTCACTGTTTGGTGGGAGATCAGTGTGCATTGCCTAATCACCCTTTTTCAGCCTGATTGACTTTAAGAGCTTGCTGGAGTTCATATTAATCTATTCATTATCGGTCTCAAGTATTTCAGAGCTCTTCATTTTGAGCTACTACAACAGCTTCATTTTATCTATAGGGGATTTGCCAGGACTGGATATAAAGAAGGGTAAAGAATATACTTAGAGGCACTTCTTCAGTTTTGATGTTGTATTCCAGGAATAGGCCTGTGTGCATTGTTTCCAAAGTTAAGACTCATGATTCAGCAAACTGATATTGATTGGATTTCTCCATTCTGGCTACATAAAAACTGTTGTACAGTTCTACAACAACCCAATCGGCACTGCCCGGATGATGTGCAATTGTATAACCAAGTAGCTGAGTGTCTGTTTTGTATAGAGGCAATTCAGTACTTAAGTAAGCTCTGTATTTCATGGTAGTGAGAGGCAGTAAAGACAATATGCCTTGCCTATTAAAAGGGTCAAGATAAAGTAAAATTGATCACTTTTAGCTGCATAGAATAAGAGCCTGGCTTCAATTTAAATGAAGCAAGGTCTGACAGGCATATATAGCGTGTTACAAAGGATCCTCTTGCTTACGGTTAAAAGACTGCAATATCGTCAGTAAAGGAAGATGGACAGATTTTGGGAGCCAGCCATAAAACTATGGACTTGATTTAAACTACTTCGCTGAGCAGGTCTGGCAGGCTTACCAGACTGTAATGAAAATAGCCAGAGATTAACTTTTTTTTTGTAAATGCTACTAACTAAACCAATACCAATGTCTGAAACAGATATCTATAACACTTTACTATTTTAATAGTACAACAGCAGGGAACAATCAGGCACTGCAGTGTGCAGGAATACTAACAGCTTAACCTTAAATGAAGCTATTAGTGAACAATTCGGTGGACATAAATGTGTTTTATGGCAAATTGTCCTTACTTGAAAATCGCTGTGCTGTCAATTCCAATTATGAAGGTCAAAATCATACTTCCCTTTTACACATGCTTCAATAAGGGAAGCCTTGTGAATACCCATCTTTATTATTACATCACACATCTGTTGTGGAAACTCAGCCAGATTCCTGTTCTTGTCATTTAACTAATAATGTAGGCTAATTACATTTCTTGCATATTAGTAACACAAGAAGCAACTGTTTAATCACCTTATCTTAGATTGCTTTTGCTTCTCTGTCCAATATAGATTGTAGCTGCTTCAACATTAATAGTAAAACAAGTACTTCTGTGCAAGTCACACATTTGTGCAGCACAAACAGGAGAGGAACAGGCCTAAAATTTAATTTATTTTGCGTAGTTTTGTGATTTTCTGAAATTTGGTCAAAAATAAATTTGCTATTTCTCCTGGAACTTGTGTCTGGTCGCCTTTATATGACCCAAGACCCATTACTTTTTCCCTAGGTTTTTTTCTCCCAGCGTCATTCTTCTTGGGTGTTTTGCCTCCTCAGGAGCAACAGTTTTGCACAAAGCAGGTAGGCAGTCAGAAGTTCATGTTTTACTGTAACAGGGTAACAGATAAATGGAAGGCTTTAACTACCATATTACATTTAGAAGCTGATGTGAAAGGCACAGGTTTCTTTATTTTAATTAATGTGGTTTGTACAATATGAACATAGCTAGCCTATCTGTAGCTATCCTTTCTCACTGCTTTCTGGTGTACACAATAATATAATACATAGAACACACTAGCAGATCTGCATGAAATTCTTAATTAAAAGAAATTTAATTTTTCTAATTGTTCACTTGTGTTTTTCTTCATCTCCACATATAAAATTTAAGAAATGGTAGAAAATGTCAACTAAACCTTAACCTATTTTATTTACTTTTAACTGTGTTAATAAAGATAGTAATTTGACATAGGAGTTTAAGGTTTTTTAATTAACTGACAAAAAGCAAAACCCATATGAGGCCACTGCAGTGTGTGGTTTGCAGGATGATTGGTTTTCAGGATGGAGTGGTCCAGGGAGAGTTCATATGTGAACACGGTCAACTAGTTGTGTGCATGTTGAGTTCAAGTTCTGTGGACTTGAGAATCAGCCTGTTGACATACTGCACAATTCAGATTTCATGGAGTTACAGTAAGTAGCTGACATACCCTATAGGGAGACTGTGTGCACATCACGAGCTGGAGGGCAGGAGTCTTCAGACCAGACAGAAAGAGATTGGAGGGTTTCGGGACCACAGAGGGGTGGCAGCCCCAGGGCTTGCTGTGACCAATTGCTTCCCAGTCTTACTGGACATGAATCTGTGTACTGACAGCCTTGAGGAAACTGGGAGGACTGCTGAACCCCAGGGTCCCCAGGACCCCTCTCCTTTTAGTAAGATGGAGCTAGTGACAATAGGGGGGACTCATTTATTATACGTATAAACAGTGTATTGTGCATGAGAGACAGGGAGTCTCATACTTTATGGTTCCTGGTGCCCAGGTTGCACTCAAGTGACCAGGCTCCTGGCCAGAGCCGGGTTGAATCCACTTGTCATGGTCCATGTTGGACAAATACAAGAAAAGGCAAAGTGACTTTTTTGCAAGACAAATTTAAAATTTAAGCCTTTATGTTTATGAGCAGAATGTCAACAGTGGTGTTTTTAGGTGTTCTACTGGTGTCGTGTGCAAGCCCAGGGTAGTGAGAGAAAGAATGGAGATTTAACAAGGAGTTCAACAACTGGTGCAGAGAAGAGGGTTTTAGGTTTATGGTGCATTGGGGGTTCAAGGTACCATACAAGCAGGACAAGTTGCACTTAAACTAGATAGGTTCCAACGTACTGGAGACATGCATGTCTAGAGCAGTTGAGGATAATTTAAACTGGGAAACTGTGGGACAGGAAACTTAAAACAAGCCTGTTCTGGTAGATTCAGAGAAGTCCTAGACAACAGGAAGAACAAATCGAAAACAAAATACTCATCCGTTCTTAAAGGCTTATACATCAATGCTGAATAGGGGTGGAAGGATCAATCGGCTAAAGATCGAAATCGTTCGATATCCGTTCAAAATATGTAAATAAGTTCCTTTTACTTGGCCGATACTGAGAGACGATCTATGGCACAAAATATTTGAGCCACAATTTCGCTGTGTGCCTTGGAATGAAAACGTCATCCATCTGGCAGTTTTTTTAAATATCTGATCCAGATCAAGCCAATGCTATTTGCAATGTTTGTAAAAGTAACATGTCTGACGTGGGTGGAGCAACACACAGATTTTTTATACAACTAACCTGATACGACACTTAAGAGCACTTCTCCCGACTGAATACAGTGAGCAGCCGAAACTATAAGAGCTAGCAAAGACAGATAATGCTACACTGACATTAAGACAACCGTCAGTGCAGGCGACATTTGACAGATACCAAATGTACAGAAGCAATAGCCCAAAAGCAAAAGGAATCACAACCAAAATCATATAATTTATTGTGTTAGATAACCAACCATTTTATGTTGTTGAAGATGTAGGATTCTGCCGCTTGATATCTCACCTAGAGCCGTGCTATGCCATTCCCGGTCAGAAATACTTTTCAGATTATGGCTTTCGGTCATCTTCATTAGATAAAAGAAATGTTAGACCGCAGCTTGTTACTTCATGTGAGTTGGTTGCAACAATCGTTGTCTTACATGTAATAAAACAATTTTAGCTTATACCATCTTTTGTGTCTTTGGCTGGATAATAACACACCAACCACCCCCCACCCCGGCTCGCATCGTTATTGGCCGATCCTGCTGACAGAAAATCGGCGATTGGTATGGGCCTCACAAAACATTGATCGGTCCATATCTAATGCTGAAAGCATAGGAAATAAAACAGAAGTTGAGATTACTGCCCAAATGGAAACTATGTCATTATATAATTAACTGAAACAGTTACATGGTGATGGCGGGTATAAATAAAACTAAGAGGAACACACTTTTTCAGAAAAGCACACAGGACTGAAGAGGTGATGGTAAGTAGATACATAAAAACATCCTGCAAGTAAGTGTGTGGACACTTTAGAACATCAGAAAAAAGTGGGATATTGTGATGCGGAATACAGGAGCTGAAATGGAGATTACTTGAAATGATTAATGATTGCTTCCTAACCCAGTTTGTAAAGGAACCTACTTGGCATGACTCTCTTATTGACCTAATCTTTTCAAACAACCAGCCTATAATTAAGGGAACAGATATGATAGAACCACTGGGAAATTGAGACCATAATATGGTATCTTTCAATGTATACTTTAATTAGAGTTTATAATTTTAGAAAAAAACAAGCTATGAAATGAGGCAGAGCTTAGAAGCAGGGAAACAAGAACAGATAAAGAGTCAATAAAATAAGGGTGGTTATATTTCAAATACAATATTAAAAATTACAATGAGAATTGCCAAGAGGGAGACCAGAAAGAATATTGTAAAACAGAAGCAAAAAAATAAGCAAACAACAGTAGTATAATAGTAGTATAATAGGAGTAAATACCATGCAAGATAACAGGACATTAATAATAAATGGTGATAAAGACACAGTTATCAAGCAACTGTAAATCAATCAATTAAAGTTAATGAAGGTATTTGAAGGTATGAAGGTAAAATGTATTTTCCAAGTCATACTTAAAGGGTAACACCTGTTCCAGTTTCTCACAACAGTTATTAAATCTCTGTAACAAAATTGTCTTTATCAAAAAAATTACCAAATTGGAATTAAGCATAAAATCATTAACTTTGTGAAAATACTGTAAATACTCTCCATGTTGACGCAACTTGCATTCAAGTTCCCACGAATTGGGAGCCCTTCCTGCTCCATAGTCTCCATAAAGACTAATGTAATGTGATAGATGAGTATATGGGCGAATAAATACAGGTTGTGCAGCAAATATTTAATTATAGAAATGTTCCAATGTGATCTGCATGAGTTAACAAGTAGTATTTGTCGGTAAAACCATCTCGAAAGCGAAACCAATATTTCTCTTGGTATACACAAGCCTGCTTGTTTACAATGTCATAGGGCCACACACGTCACTGGAATTTTCGGTGTTTCGTTCTTGAATCACAGAATATGGCTGTGCACATACCTGGAAAATTAGTCTATTTTGTGATGTAAATTGGGGGTTTTACATGCTTCTGTGTACATTTTACTGTTACTGTGGTGATTAGAGAATCCACAAAAACTGAACCAGGGAACTACAGACAAATCAGTTGTCTGCTGCTGGTAAAGTTATATAAAAATGCCAGAGCTAACTTAGAAGAATACTTAAGAAAATAAGCATATTTTAAGAGACAGCCAACATGGATTTGGAGGGAAAAAAATCACAATAAACTGAGCCTTACTCTTAATTTTCACAATAAGTAATGTATTTAGATTTAGTACAGTAGTTACATCAAAGTCCTCTTAAAAATACCACGATGAATACTACAACTGTACATAAATCACTATAGGTAATGGGCACAAATACAATGATGTAGGTCCCGCCAGCTTTCTAAAAATGCAATTATACCAGAACAAACCATCTGCAATGACTCAATGGAAAAGGCCATGAATCATATTATGCAAGATGTGTTAAGTGAATTACAAAGGCAGCAGGCTTAAGAGCTTCCTTAGGAGAATGTGGCATTATTTCAGCATTTTACTTTACAGAACAAAACGAAAACTTTTTAGGAGTTTGAACCAAGGAAAGGAAAGGAGGGAAAATTAAAAAAAACAACATATTGTGTAAGTGAGGCTTAAGGAAGTGCTCAAAAACTTTTGAAATGTTCATGTCTGAAGCCCTGTGATGGTGATCTTGAGTAATAAAAGAACATCAAAGGGACTGACCCGCTGAAAGCTCCGGGTGAAATGGAACTCGCACTGCATCATGTCGAAGAAGATGGGGATGGTGGCCTTGCGTAGCTCAATCTCAGGAACCAGAGTCATTTCCAGTATGGGACCGACCATCTCAGGGATAAACTTAATCTTGTGTGGACCTTTCATGCACAAAATCAGGTAAAGAGGAACACATTAAAACAGGGGTGAACACCGAACAATCTCAAACATGAATCCAATTACCACATCAAAATTCTCTGGCAGGTTGGATGGTTTTCTAAAGTTGATATACTGGGTGCCAGAAAACACTACCAAGATTACATTCTTTTATTTGATACATGAAAATTGTGTACAGGCAGACACAAGTGGATTACTTGATATACCCAACTGCCCTCCACGAACTGACTCGGAACACTGATTTCTCTTTCCCAGTCCATGTCACTCTTCAAGTTGAGGATTGCATATTCCCAACACAATAAAGGAACTAAAGAATAAGCACAGTGCAAACTAAGGAGACAATGCTAAGTGTATCAGCACATCCAATTTTCAATTTAATTTTACTTTCAGTGCAGTATGCTGATCCATGAAGTGTATATTGGTGAGGACTTATTTAATTATTTGTATTACTTTAATTCTTAATAACCATGTACCCCAATTCATTAGTCAAGCAAGCATTGTTTATATATTTTTCTTAAGGTTCTTTGCAAAAAAAAAAAGACTACAATGGGGATACAGTATGTAGATCCTAGAAACAATCTGGAAAGTTAGGTTTATACCTTGTATTGTAGCAGCACAAGAATTAACGGGAGGTCTTTCTAGGTTGAGCACAGCCTGCAATAACTGGATGTCATTTAACCTATTGCCTGCTGGCTATAAAGAGAAATCGGAGTCTCATCAGTTTGAATCCCAGGCTGGCTATTAGAAAATTCAGACATGTAACATTCTAAACAATCAAAGGAGGTCAATTTTTTAGATAACTTCCGTCAACATTAAGATCAGTCCGTCCAGATGAAATACTTTGGAAACAATCACATGCATGGATAACTTCATTAGATTTCATTACCATGCAGTGGATCTGCATGATGGTCTTTGCCTGTACAAATTCCCAGTGTCCCTGCCTGTTTGTGAAACCATCCCTAGTTCTTGTAGTATCATTGATGTGAGTCATAGTGGAAAAGTTACCTGAAAGCCCTCATGACTTGTGCTGATCAATCCATTGAGTTTATTTTTAATTCTCTGCTTCTGTTTTTTATTAACAGATGCATACAGGATTTAAAATACACCATGTGAACTACTGTGTCAACGACAATGAAAATAGTAAAGTGTCATCATACCATTCAAAAGAATATTTTTAGAAGTGCAAGCACACTGATGACAAAAATTGCAATTATTGAGGAGACTCTATTAAAAAGGTGTATCTAATAACACTTCAAATGAATCTTTCATCAGTTCTCTGCTGTGGTTTTAGCACCCATCATGGTGTTAGGTTATAAAAGAGAAAACAATTTTCTCAGCTTCATCTACATTGAAAGTAATTGGCTTACTACTGTGCTTAAAAGTACATACAGTCTCTGTGCTTTTTTTTACTAACATTGATTAGTAAGAAAAGAGAACACTGTAAAGTACTGTGCATTTCAAAACAGATTAACGATTATAATTTACACATTTTTATATGGTATCCATATAATTAGGATTTAGAAAATTCCACTTGTTTCGTTAGGTCTAATTATACATGACCTCCTGGTTATATGAGCATTTCTTATATATTGTTCAGTTGTTTGCATTTGCACTGCTGGAAATAACAAATAAGATTATTAACCCATGGACGTAAAACTGCTTAAGTGTGTGCTTCATTTTATTTTTTTTCTACAGTTGCATAACAACAGTATAAGACAGGTGAGAAAACATGCAGTTATCTTACCAAGATTATACCACATGTCTCTGATCTCAAACCCAATTTGCCGCCTCATATCTTGATATCTGCAAGGTGAAAACAATAATAAATCAATTCATTTATAACCCATTAGTTTTTGGATAGATCTGCACAATTACCTCTTCATTAATCATTTTCACAATCAAGAAAATCAAAAGCCTCTCAAACGTCAATCCCAGATTATTATCCATATTACTCAAGGCTAAGTACACAACAAAATGATCTTTTGCAAAGACAGATACCAAAACAAAGCATTCCTGTCAAACATAATACTCAATAAAAGCAATCAGAAATGCATCTATGGACATTTGATGTTCATAGCCCAATTCTTGTTCTTTACATCATGAACAAGTAAAAGAAACGTGGTCTGGTAATAATCACCCATATTTTGTCATAATAATAATTATTAAAGCCAGTATTAGAGGTAAATATTTTGGACATTGATATCTTAACTGCTACTTATCAGCCATATGAATGTGTTACTAGAGTTTCAGGTTATACTAGACAAAAAATGCTAAATTAAAAAATATGTTGCTCTTTACAGGGTTATTATAATTTTGTTTTCCCTGTCATGCAATGACATTTCAGTGAAATGTAAGCACTGAGGAGAATTCTTATAAGCTATTGATTGCTTTGCCAATATATTTTTAGAAGGCTGTAATTAATGGAGACAAGGAAAGCACATTAAAAGTATCTAACAAAGAAAACCATTAAAAAGGTGGTGGCTAAAAGTTGTGCTGATCAGTTTGTGCTGCAGAGTTGTAACATTCTCTATAGTTTGCATTACCAAAGCTAAAAAAATCTAAAGATTCTAAATGTGCTATATTTACTTCATTCAGAAAGATACCTATCTCTGTGTGCTAAAATCACTGTTCTACCTTACTTCTAGAATTAAAGAGTTTTTGCCTCTCTTTTACCTAGTAGGGGTATTTTGGCAAAAACATAAAATGTTAGCCCAGAGGCCTGTTTCTTATCCAATAGCATTATATTCATTTCCAGTCAGGCAGGGGACTGGACAAATGAATAGGCATCAGTATAAGAATAGTGCTCTCAAGGAGAAATGGTAAAACATTATGCTATGTGACAATCAAAAGGTTTTAACCACCAGACTATTGCCAAGCTCAGGAGAAAACACTTGCAAAGCATTTCCAAAGATCAACTCTTGATCAGAATAAGACAGACAAGAAAGCAGTGGAAAACAAAAAAGAATGTTTTCAGTTAATTTAAAATGAACTTCGTTAGGAGAACACAGCCTGAGCTTTGTACTGGAGAAATATACTTTGAATGCTGTGCTAGTAACACACTCACTGACAAATAGATTTTTCATAACATTAAAATTCTACATTAACAGAGTCTATGATTACTATGACAAAAGTTATATTATTATAATTCTATGCAAGTGAAGATGTAGTGGTCTTAAGGAGGATGGATTTCCATCACCTTTCCTAGCCAGAAACAATCCCAGATCGCAATCCTATAGAAAACTGGTAGAACTGGCAGAATGTGCAGTTGAATTCCATTCCATAAAAGACGCTGGGTCTGGGATGCAGATAGTTGAATCCTTTGTGAAATACACACCATGTTGTATTCAAACTGTTTCTGTTGCTCACAAAGGTCCAATACATTTTTCAGAAGGGATACCTAAACTTCCGATACTCTACATAATTACCTTTTCTCACATGACCCTTGGTGTGGAAGTAGATATTATAGTAAAACTATAAAGAAGTAAATTAAAATTTATAGAATTATTTTAAAATAATTCTACACTCAGTTAATGAATGATCCTCATGAAAATGATGAAGAGATACTTGAAAGACATGCACTCCCACAGACAAATTCATACAAGAGATATGAGGGTGATATCACATCCCATGACTAAACGCCCTTTATCAACAGACAGGGCATGTTTTTTTTTCAGGTGAAGACATCAAAATTCACATTAGGTCACCTTCAAAATCTTAAAACCACTCACAAATTACTGTAGGATGCATATTCCAACCAATTTTCTGCTCTTATTTAAGATAACTTGATTGGAGTAAATTTAACAGTTTTGCCTATAGTACATTTTATGCTGTTTACAACATTCATAAAAGTTGTGAAAAAATAATGATGCTTCCTACACAAAGACATGAAAGATATGAAATATAAATGTAACTACATTATAAGGAATTCAGACAAAGCTCATTTTACTTGCTAATATAGATTTCTGTATGTTTTACAAACACACCAAGCAGGATCAGCTGCAAAATAACTATGACTGAAATGGCCTAAACTTAAAACTAATGATCAAAGAAAAAAAGTTTGAGGAAAGACAAAGGAAGGTCTAGGGAACTCTTGGGTAAATTAACAATCAGTTCCACTGCAGAGGGCTATTTCTAAATTAAAATCTTTCGCTCAGCAGTACATGTCATCTCTCAAGTTTGTTTGAAATTTTAATTTACTGCCTGTTTGAAACCAAAAAAGAGCATAGCCTTAAGAGAGCTCCAAGATAAAGGAGAAATTCACCCTCTAACTGATACAAAGAGCAAGAGAAACTGGGATAACATCTCATCTGTCAGCTGTCAAGACACAGGCTTACCTGTCAAAAGTTGGGAAACATTAACTGAACTGACATATATGGCATTACACTCCTACTGAAGCCAGAAAAAATAATCTGTGACAAATATAATGATGGTCTTCAGAATAAAAAAGGATCACAGAACAGCCACACATGCCAGAGATCAAAATATCAATAACCCTGATATAGGCATATCTAATCGATAAATATTTTTAGACCACTATTATGAAACGTACCTAAAATTTAGGTTCAATTATTTCAAGCATTAAAAAATTAACATGGTTTATTATTAATAATAATTGATAATAATTGCTTACACTTATATAGCGCTTTTCTAGACACTCCACTCAAAGTGCTTTACACTTTGACCCCCCTCCACCACCACCAATGTGCAGCATCCACCTGGATGATGCGATGGCAGCCATAGTGCGCCAGAACGCTCACTACACATCAGCTATCAGTGGGGAGGACAGCAGAGTAATGAAGCCAGTTCATAGGTGGGATCATTAGGAGGCCATGATTGGTAAGGGCCAATGGGAAATTTGGCCAGGATGCCGGGGTTACACCCCTACTCTTTTGGAGAAACGCCCTGACATTTTTAATGACCACAGAGAGTCAGGTCCTCGGTTTTACGTCTCATTCGAAGGATGCCTGTTTACAGTATAGTGTCCCCGTCACTATACTAGAGCATAAGGACCCACATGGACTGCAGGGTGAGCGCCCCCTACTGGCCCCACTAACACCTCTTCCAGCAGCAACCTTAGTTTTTCGCAGGAGGTCTCCCATTTAGGTACTGACCAGGCTCACACCTGCTTAGCTTCAGTGGATTGTCAGTTTGTGAGTTGCAGAGTGATACGGCTGCTGGCATGGTTTAGACAGAAGAAAGCTGTCATTAGAGCTGTATTATAAGTATTTCATTCCAGCCAGTGTAAGACTGTGCTAAAGAGACTATAAAAGAACTGAGAGGTAAAATGCTACACGATAAATAATATATCAGAAATAATTCATCCTGCTCATGCAGTGTGCTGAAAGTTTTGATGGGAGTATTAAAAAGCTAAAAGTAATTAACCCGCAGTCATCTTCACTCAGTAAGTACAGGCTCAGTTCAGTGCTGGTTATCTTGATTTTTTCTCCAGTAATTGAGAATGAGCACATTCCCTGTTTTTTTTTCTTGCAACCAATGTCAGGACCACTCAGACACAAAATGCTAATAGGTTACATTTAATCAAGCACAAAAAGTGCAGCTCTTGAGTTGAGTAAGATAAGAGTTCTTCCTGCCTGTCCTAGCCTTTTCACCAGCTGTTTCAGTTGCTCTTCACTAATGAAAGCATTAATTCATGACAGAAATCATAACCTAAAGTTGATTCCAATTAAAAATTGATACAATACTTCCGTTCATGCACAAAACCTCATAAATATGTAGTTTCTTAAGAGTCTAATAAGGTATTTGTGATCTTTTTTTACTTTTTGCTGTCTGTTACCAGATAGTGGCATGTAAATATAACTTTAACAGTACTCCCAAAAGCTGAATCAATACAGATATTCAGCTGGGGCACAGGTTAAGTCCTATAGTTCAGGTATCTCAGAGTTAAGCTTAGGCTGTGTCATTAGGTAACCATGAACTGGGGTGCAAGCCAGTGCATCAGTGAATCACCCAGTCTCAGTTGTCAACACTGATAGTGGCAGCTTTGGGCTGTTGAGATATGTCTCATCAGCAGGCACTGAAAAGCTCAGTAGTCTTGAAGAGAAAATTAATGGTGCAAATTGCAAGGTGAATCCTAGAGTAAAACCTGCTCAAGGCAGCCAGAAATCTAAAACTGGCGTGAAAATATATAACTGAATAGGATAATGATCTAAAGCAGTGGTTCTCAAACTGTGGTATGCGTATCACTCGTGCTATGCGGAGCGCCGCCAGCTGGTACACCATATGACCCTGAAACCTTTTTTATTGTTTATTTTTAATTGTTGTTATTCCTGTTGTCATTCTGTAAACAATTAAAAATAAACAATAAAAAAGGCACCATTTCAGTGAGATGGGTGAGCCTGTTTAGTCGAGCAAAGCAGATGTGAATTCATGTTTCGCTTTGAGAAGCCACGTTTAAAGGCGCTATATCAAATAAAGTTATTATTATTATTATATTTGTGTGAGAGTGTGTGTGCACGTTCTGGGGTTCCAATGAGAAGATGACTTGTAGGTGGTACTTGGATGCTTTGGTTTGATCAGAGGTGGTACTTGGTCCAAAAAAGTTTGAGAACCACTGATCTAAAGTACAGGGCCAAAACTATACAGGAGTGGTTTGACAAGAAGAAAGTGAATACATTGAGTGGCCCATTCAAAGTCCTGACTTGAATACAATATAAAATTTATGGTCTATCAATGATCCCTACTGAACACGTTAGGACCCGGAAGAGTGAGCAAAAATACACCACCGTACCAGCATATTTGCTTTTCTTTTTCAGTGTGAACATGGAGCAGCGCTTTTATGAAAATCTTTATACACTTTAGTTCACTGGCAATGCTTAAAGGAAATCTAAAGGCAGATTGCTGGTAAGGACTTTTGTCAGAAAGAATCCAGACAGAAACTCTAGTGTCCATCACACAACAGCCATGACAAAGTGGATGTACAGACTATACTATCATTCAGGGAGAACAAATGTCCCTTTTCCATTCCTGATTTGTATACCTCCTTGCCCTTTTCACCTCATCAAAATGTGCTTTCACATTGTACAGCTAATACCTGTCAGTTTTCAGTTAAAACAATTCGAGGTTCTCCCTCATCTCTTTGGATTAGTGGCTTTCATCTTTCTCGATTTCTGCCTTAAACTGTCAGAACAGGCAGCCTTAATTATTCCCTTAACTTGGCAGAACTCAACCCTTTAGGTTTTCTGTCACTCGGCCCGCTAAACAAACAATGTGAAACAGACTTTCCAAATGAGGTACAAAGAAGCACAGCAAGAAGCTCTGCAGCTGCTGTGAGCACTCTGAAGTCACTAAGTGTACAGCTAGCTAAAGATCACTCTTTGAATTAATTCAAAGCAAACACTCCACCTCCACTGGGAGTATAAACAATAAGAAAACCCATGAAGTCATGTTAAAGTTAATTACTATTATCTACGACATCAATGGAGATAGAATAACTTCTTACTCTGTCTGACAAAATGAAATTCTTGGATGAGAGTTAAAACCAAACTCACTTATGAAATATTTTGGCTCGTTTATCACTGGAGAAATTTTCAAGCTGGAGAGATTCTTGGGTGAGAAAAGCAACTGCCAGGTGAAAGTAGTTGTTCCAAAGCTAGAAAAAAAAAACAGAAAAGTTCCTGAATGACTCGACATGGTCATAGCACATAATAATGTAATAATAATGTAATGTTGCTTTATTAGCCCTATACATAGAGATACTGTCAACCTCTGTTAGCTCTACATGTATTAGTGAACCATTAACACATTAATTGTATTAATACATACCCTGTCTGAGGAGCCTATCAATGTCATTTTGCAGATGTTAATTAATGAATACAAAAGACTATTAGTGAGGTTTATAACTATGATGTATGACTTAGAAAATGACACCATTTCATATTTTGATATTTTATTTTACTGCAAAAGTTGAAAAAACAAAGATATCAAGACCTGCAGTATGTATTGCAAGGATATTAAAGGACAAAATTTACTCAAACTGCTTTAGGGCAGAAACGGTTTCAGTTCTTGTGATTTAAACTAGCCTAATGAGTTAGCTGAGCATTATTTGGAATCCACCCTGAAAAAACAAGTGCATTGTGTTTGGACACTTAGCCTTTCAGAGGTCTTCGTCTTATTTCGATATCAAGTGCACTGAAAATGTTATTAATGGTAGAGACAAGACATAAGTTAATCTGTCTGTATTGGACTCTTGAAAAAGACTCCTGATAAATGTAGCAAATCAAGATTCTTGATGGAATTTACCTTCTTGGGTGATTCCCCAAGCTCTGACTGTTTAGCCATCTTAAAATTATTTTATCTTTCTACATCATGCAGTATGTAGCAGACCCTCACAATTATTTTCTGGTAATGAAAGGAATAGTAGTTTTTTTTTACCAAAGTTCTGTTACTGCATACATACATATTTATGGGTATTATAAAACATAACTGGATGGTTTTATTCATGGTACTTACTTGAAGTTCAAAGTTGGCTTGATCGAGGAACTTCTTGTTTAGCACTGCAGCATACTGATTAATTGCTCGCAAGAAAACTCTGTAAGAAAAAAGATTTCTTATTTAGTCCTTTTGTACTTTGTGATCAAATAAAGATTAATTGCTTTATGTAAATTTAGCTGTAAGCTTTCAGTCATTCTACATTGAAATGTTTTCTTAATCTTCATTTAAATGGAAGCAGAGAGCAAAGAATTCAGAACTTAATCAGAAACATTTTTTTTTTCTTTGACAGAAGATGCTGTTTGGAAAGTAAAAGTAGTGTCTGCCTCATAGAAACTCATGAGCATATTTATTGAGATTCTGATTTGCATTAAACTCCTGCTCAGAAGGAATGTGAACTGATCTTTAAAGAACATACAGTACATTTACAGTAGATGTGTTGCTTTAAGTAGTGCCATTTACTGTAAGTGCATTTTTGTCTACCACACCAAACCAAGAAGCTAGGTTTTCTACTACAAATTATTCTTACAACAGGGATGTGTAACCCTGGTCCTGGAGAGCCACAATCTGGCAAGATTCATACATCACCCTTAAATCATCCATTTCCAAAATGTTTTGAACAACTTAATTTCTTCTTAAGCAGAAGACTTAATCAATGACTGTATTTAAGAATCTTATGATATAAAAAGAGTAATATGCTGCAGCTCCCAAGGACATCAACAGATCATTCCTGACTTTAAAAACAATTGCTAAATTGGTAATAATAATAATCTCTACCTAATACATTTTTTTACTTACTCTCATGTATGCTTTATCCTTACACCACTAGAAAGAGAATGTTTTCAAACCATGTACTTTGTGCCTCATTCATAACTGCAATACTGAAATTCTCTCAAATGCTCAAAATGTGGGAACCTGTTCCCCAAACATCTCAAAATTCCATCCTGTGTATAAACGTTTTCTTTAAAAAGAATTGCAAAATCATTATATTTCAAAACTCTTTTATATAAATGAATGCGAGTACATTTGTGTTTAGATACAAATTGTATAAAAAGTGAAACACACGGGTACACCACCTGACATTGACATTAAAACCTGATTGTTAGAAGTCTTTGTTGAATTTTACCTGTTAGTTAATAAATGTAATTAGTGTTCAACAATAAAACCTCATTTGGAAATGGCAAGCAATAAACATACTTTATTAAGCTTGAAACAATGTGTAATTGTTGAAAATCCTCAACAATATATCTTCCTAATTGACCCTCATGCTTTCACGCAAGACTTGCAAAGTATTACTCATCTACACAGGGAATTCAAATAAGACACAGATAATAAACTTAATTGCTTTTCCTACACTTAGACAGCAGGAAGAAACAGACATTAACAAAATAATATGCATGATTGTACCACTTACTCAAATTAGGAACGAAAAGAGACTATGATGGGGCTTCACAAATGCCTACCCTGAGACTATCCTCACATTTTAAATGCCCTGAGAAATTGTCAACACATTTTACATTTACATTCGTCATATTTTCTTTTTCCTTTAACCTCTGAGTAATGCATTAAAATATCATGACAGCATTTTAAAGGAAAGGGCCTTGGGATGTCTAAGACATCAGACTTGCTCATGGCTCATAGCAATACTGTATGCTTCAAGGGACTATTAAACAGTCCACTCATGTATCTGCACATCATCATTTTTTATTTTGCTTAAAACCACAAACATGACAGAAGTGCAATTTCCCATTAACGGATAATATGTCTGTTGGAGAACACTGTGAATAAATGAATCCTGTTTAAAAAAGTCCCCATATACCGCACTTTCTGGACTCTTACAATACTCACACTAAATTAAATCTTGGGGTGTTCTATTAAGGCATTTAATCAAACTGCACCAATAACAGTAAACATTATGACTGAAACGTACGTAAAAATCATGTAGCATATTCATAAAACGTTTTTTATTCAATCTGCTCCCAAGTTAATTAAAATTCATGAAATGTCGTCACAATTAGGAATATTGCTTTAAAGATACAGCACTCCACTGTACATTTTTGAGTGATGACAAGAATTAGTGTAATATGAGTAAAAATATCAATCATATTTTAGATTGGCTAACTCATAATACTCTACTCAAGCAACACTATCATTTTTTAAATCATTGTTAATGTGGCTTGTTTGAATCTGGAAGCTACACCTGCCATTTTAATATGTATTCCCATTAGCTGCTTAAACAACACTTTAGTGGGTATATTATCACAACTGTGTTGGTGATAACACATTTAAAAGCTTTTTAAGTTAATATTTAAACATGAAGTGCATTTTTTCTTTACTGGGCAAAAAGTCTGAAAACACAGCAAACAAGTTCTTAACCAAGCATGGGGTATTAGGATATGACTTAACCGACTATGTATACTTGTCACTCGAAAAAGTACTTGAAAAAAGCAGAATACAAGGACTAAGCTGAGAAGAAAACCATATGTGACAGTATATACTCACCAGAAACACAATTTATTGTTTTAGGTATTTGTTCTGGGAGCAAGAAAGCTAGGTAAAGACAGATGCCAGTCAGTTTGTCAGGATTCAAGTAAACTCGTAAGTTAGGAACAGTTACAAATACCCTTCAATTAATTCCAAAAGGCTCCTTCTCGTGAGGCATTATTACAGTGTTTGGTCCAAAGAGGCCTTCCTGTTGTGTTCTGCCAACACAATAATCATAAATCATCTCAAACGCTAAAGCATTACAGCAATCTCAAACTCGGCAAATGCCACCTTGTATTACTTCAGAATTGTAACCAGCTCTCACACAGAGCTTTAATGACACTTCTCTGATGGTGGGTCTTTGGATTCTGACAGCAAAGGGAGAGCCTTTAAAAATCAAAAGGAAACTTCTAAGGAAAGGCACAGAAGATGGAAGGTCGCTGTTACCTTGTGACAGCTAAAACGTGGATAAAAAAATCATTTTGAAATGAAAAGAATTACTGCTATAGAGGGTAGTGGAGGGTGGGCAGCTCAGGATTTCAGATTCTGCCTTCTCAATACATTTCTGACTGCAAACTATTCATGGCTGTGGGCCCATCAGCTTCATAAGCTGTGAGAATGAGAAGATGAGAACTAGACATGGACCAAGTCTTTTTACCACATTTATAAGTTCGCATTCACTGCTTGATAACTGGAGTGTCTCTGGATTTAGGCCACTTCATATTTAAATGTAATACCTTGGAAATTATTATCTGGAACTAAAGCAGAGGTGTTCAGTCCTGATTCTGTAGGGCCAGTGTGTCTGCAGGTTTTTAAAGTCTCCTTAAAGCATTCAACAAAGAAGCTAGTAACCTGCTGGTTTAGCTCATTAAGAATCAAATTGGAATTAAATCCTACAGACACACCAGCCGTCCAGCACTAAGAATTTGACAGTCATGTTCTTAAAAGAGACGGGAAACAATATTCATAGTCACTGAAAGGTAAATGTTGAAAAGAGTGTTTGCATTTAACATTAGGAACCCTTGGTTCACATGTGAAGTGAGAAGTCATTGAAAATGAGTAACGATTTAAGGATATAATGGGCACCATGCAGGTTTCTCCCCTGAACATTGTCAAACAACAAAAAGGCCTGGAAGGTGAAGGAGAAAAGCAAAATACAAATAATTTGCACATTATATACTATAAACAATACTATGCCTCTACTATACTAAATGGGGCCAAGAAAATCTTTTACTTCATATGATGAGTGCATCTGTAATAAATGGTGACCTTGTAATGGTAAACCAAACATTCTGAGACATGGTTCATGTCTAGCTGACCAGGTTTATCCAGCTGTGGTACACAACATGCTAAGCACTTCCAAGGGAAAGATTCAGATAAACCTCCTGTACTGTTGTTAACCAAGACGTTACACAATAATTGACAGACAGTAAAACTGTATGCATAAATAATAAAAGATAACTGTCCATTCAATTTTCACTTTAGGAAATGGTGAAGCAACTATTTCTCACTTTTCTGTTGAGTCAGGGTGCAAAGGATAGGTTATGAATTCAGTTAAGAGTCATTTTTTTTTACTCTTTAAAAAGCTATACTTTTATCTTCACAAGACTTTTGAAGTTGTCTGACAGAAAACCACTACTGAAAGGCAGACTTCAGAAAAGACTTAAAATTGTTCAGCCAAAAACATCAATTTAAAAAAGCTAGATGGCTGGTATAATTTCAGGAACTTTTGGCTACAATCTTCAAAGTGATCTATGAAATCAGAACACAATCTGATAAAAATATAGTTCTCTTCATTTTTTCTACAGGATATAAATTCATACTTCATGCAATATTATTTTTAGCTATTCAAAATAAATACAAAATATGTATTTTGATAAAGTAAATCATAGTAAAGAAAGCCAAAGTGATTAATTCCTAGAAAAGTATAACTTTGGTCAAGAAACTACCATGGGGAATTCATTTTTTAAAATGAAGTGTCAGTACAACTTGAATAGATCTGAAACAACTTACTGGCAGAAGGCACCTCTACATTTGTATCTAGAAAAATCTGAAATCCCTAGGGGGAAACGGAGATACTTCAGGCAGTCAATTCTCATTCAGAAGTTCAATACGTAACAGCAAAATCCAACTGTACATGCAATGCACTATTGAGCTTTTGACTGAAAACCTGTCATTTCAAAACACTGGTGGTGCAGGGCAAATAACTATTGAATGATCAAGCTAAATTGCAAACCACCATATAATTATATATTGAGAGAGAAATAAATATGATTATAAATTAAGCCTTTTAAAAACATATTTAAATGAAACATCCAATAACAAGGTTTAGCAATTCAAGCCAGAAGAAATGAGAATGCAGCTGACATTTTTGACCTTAATGAAGTTAGGGAACAGCCAATCTATTTCTCAGGCAATTTCCCAGCTAGTAATTACCAGATAACTATGTTCTTGGGGGACCTCAGAAAATATTGATTTACCAATCCTTTTCCTTCTGTCAATATTTTATGTTTCTATGACAAGTAAATACCACTTCCCCAGACTACTATCAACAAGGTTCAATTTCCAAAATAGAGGTGGTGGAGAGCTCAAAGACATGCCTGTGGAAATTTTGGA